TTTCCATGTCTTTCTCTATGTGTGTTTGGAGACAGGCTCTCATTATGGATGCTAGTTTGAATTCACTATGTTACCCAGGTTGGCCTCAAACTCATGATCTTGCCTCTGCCTCAAGGCCTGGGATCAGAAGCATGTAACACCATGCCTGGCTCCTGCATTTCATAGTAACTGTCAATACTGTCACCATTGCCGTGGAAACAGACTGTTCTTTGACATACTGGACTGCTGGGTCATAGAGCACATCTAGTCTTCATTTTCTGAGCAAACTCCATCTGTTTTTTTATCACAGCAATGCAACCCCACACATGCTAACAGGCCCCCTTTTCTCTACACCAACACAAGCGTCTGATGTTTTCAGGCTTTCTGATAACAACCATTCTTACTGAGGCGAGGTGCTATCTCACCGTGGTTTTGATGTGCATTTCCCTGATGATTAATTACGTTGAACCTGTTGTATGTCTTAAGAAACATCAATTTATGGTTATTGTTCATTTTTTCAATTGGATTTTTTTTGTTGAGCTTCTGATTCCTTGTGTATTGTTACTACCAACCCCTTCACAGATGAATAATTTGTAAATATTTTCCTGATACTGTAGGTTTTCCCTTCACTCTGTTGTTTATGTTGAGTTGGTTTTTATAATTAATGAGAGATTGGGTTCATGCCAATCTTTGGCAGGTGGACATCTGACTTCCCAGTACCACCGACTAGAATGCCTGTACTTTCTTCAGTGTGTGTGTGTTGGTAGCATGCTTGCTGAAAGTCAGCTGATGTGTGTGTGGGCTTTACTTCTAGGCTATTATATTCCAGTGGTCTGTGTGTCTGGATTTACATTAATACTATGTTGATTTGTGCATGTGCGTTTGTATGGAGCTAACAATTAAACCCAAGGCCTTGTGCATTTGAGGAAAGTCATGTTCCACCGAGCTATACCCCTAGCTCCTAGTAGGCTTCTTGATCATAACTCTGTAGTGTACTTTAAAAACAATGTGTATGGGTATTTTTGCCTGTGTGTATATCTGTGTACCACAGTGCCCATGGATGGCAGAAGAGGGCCTTCGATCTGGAACTAGAGTTACAGGTGGTTGTGAGCTACCATGTAGGTGCGTAAACCAAGCCTGGATCCTCTACAAGAGCAGCCAGTGCTCCTAGGCACTGAATTGCCTGTCCAGTCACTCAGCGCTGTGGTATACTATAAAAAAGCATCTCTCATTCTTAGCCCAGCACGCCAACTTAAAGGTAAGATTTACAAGTCTCTGGGGGAAGACTCTGCTTCAAGACGCATGAAGCAATCCCTCCCCTACTGTGTATGTTATGGTTTTTGAAAAAATCATTTATGAACTAATTTTTCAAATCAGAAAACTCCAAGTGCTAAGTATACTGGGTAATTGGAATGTGCACTGAGCAAGCTTCCCACAAAGACCAGAACCTTCAGCCAGTGGTGGTGACACGCGCTTTTACTCCGAGCATTCAGGAGGCAGAGGCAGGTGGATCTCTGTTGAATTCGAGGCCAGCCTGGCTTACAAAGTGAGTTCTAGGACAGCTAGGGCTGTTACACAGAGAAACCCTGTCTCAAAAAACCAACCAACCAACCAACCAAACAATTAGAAGAACAAAAACAAAGCCTTGCCAACGATCACATTCACTCTGGTAATATAGCAGGAAAGAGCTCTCTAGTCTAACTCAAACAGAGGGAGCATCCCGACAAATGACACATGGCAGTGGGAAGTGTCACAGTAAAACCCATCACTCAGTACAATTAATATAGACTTTTTTTTTTTTTTTGTCATCCTGGCTGTCCTGGAACTCACTATGCAGATCAGGCAGGACTCACCTGACTCTTCCTGAGTGCTGGAACTAAAGGCATGCACTATGCCTGTCCCCTCATTACACAAATTTTTTAAAAGGTAGATGATAAACTTTCCTTTGGTGTGTGTGTGTGTGTGTGTGTGTGTATGTGCCCTCGTGCGTCCATGCGTGCACGTGTGCATGTGATTAAGCAAGTGTGCCTACAAATGCCATGGTTGGATATGGACGTCAGTCCTCTCCTCTCGTTTACTGCTGCACACACCAGGCTAACTGGCCGTTGACCTTATCTCGACCTGTCTCTGCCTTGCATCACACAGCAGGGACAGGGAGAATGCAGAGGCGCACGACTGCACTTGGCCTACGTGGGGTCTAGGGATTTGACCTCAGCTCCTGACACTTGCACGGCAAGCTCTTTACCCACTGAGTCACCTCCCAGCCTAGGACAGACTTTAAAGGAACGACAGTAAGATAAAGTCAATAGGACAGATCTATCTGTGTTAGGACAGACTAGAAATAGGAGTGTTTGGGGTGGGAGGGCAAGGGAAAGGATACTAGAGAAAGGAAAAAAATCCAAACCTTTGGTTGAACTAAAGACCCAAGAAGACTTAAATAGACACTCTAAAACAGCCTTAAAAGCCACTCGCTTTTACTCCTATAATTAAGTCAGGCTTTTCTTTTTCCTTTTGTTTTTCAGGAAAAACAGTTCATTGAATACGACCTGAAGAATGCACTCAGGAACCAGAAAGACCAAAGAAAAGGAAGTACTTATTGTAAAAACGAGGACGACCCGAGCCCGTGTGAGGGCGCAGCCTGGGATCCCAGCACTCAGGCTGAAGTGGGAGGATCATCGCGAGTTTGAGGCCAGCTTGGGCTACATGGAGTTATTTCCATGCCAGCCTGGGCTGCATAGCAAGACTCATTCACAAGCAAGCAAGTAGCAGGCAGGCAGACAGGCAGGCGGGCAGGCGGGCGGGCGGGCGGGCGGGCGGGCGGGCAGGCAGGCGGGCAGAGGTGAGTAAACAAATATTGTGAAAGGAGACCTGAACCAGGATTCTTCGCTACTCATCCCCCAGGCAGGCAAGCAATGATATTCTGTCTTGGTGGCATCTGATTTAATGATCACGTATTCTTTTTTTTTCCTCCAAGGTTTATTTTTATTTTATATGTATGAATGTTTTACCAACATGTATACAGGCACACCATATGGCTAGTACCTAGGAAGTGAGAAGAAGCTATCAGATCCCCTAGAACTGGAGTTACTGATAGCTCTAAGCAGCCATGTGGGTGCTGGGACCTGAACCCAGGTCCTCCGGAGGAGCAGCCAATGCTGGTGATTGCAAAGCCATCTCTCCAGCCGGATCACATGTTCTCAAAGACACCAAAGGCCTGCCTGCCATTTGAGCAACGCTGTACTGATTTAATAATGTAAGCTGATGCCAAAATGGAATAAAGGCAGGGAGAAGACTCGCAGCCTAAGTGCTGTGCTGTCTCTGGCAAGCTGGGCAGAGTCCCCGTAAGTACACATGGGACTTCCCTACCGCAGAACAAGGGCTTATATTATGTGTATCTCTAACTAGACACTGTTGTAATTTTTTCTTTTGCTGTGGCTAACTTCAACCTGTTCTCCTGAAGTTAAGAAAGAGACACAAATCAGCAGAGAATGAGGTCTGTGTACAGCTTGGATGAAGAACTGGAGGAGAATGGCTTCAAAGGCTTACAGCTGGGCTCAGTGGCTTTAAACTTCTTTAAACTAGCAGCAGAGCCCTTGATCTCTCATCTGTCTGATGTCTGGAGCGCCTTATAGGCTGTGCCACCCCGCCCTAGTGCCATCCATGCCTCGATGCAATCCTGAATGAAACCCCGCTTTATTCAGTTCTTGTACACAGCAGACTATTTACTAATGGATTAGACAGAAGCTCTTTGGCTACGTCCTCAAATAGTTTCTGGCCTGGTGCGGGGAAGAAGCCAGCTGTGGGTCACTTGCCGACCAGTCTGCATATCTCTCTTCCCTCTTGAAATCACAGAGCAAACGGTTTATCGAAATCCTGGGACATTGTGTGTACTTGTGCCTAACCCACAGCTCAACAGTCCTACACCCTCACTCTGTGATTAAGGGGCGTGTGTGTGGACGGCCCAAGTGCTGGCAATGCCATCTAATCATAGCTGCTCTGTGACTCCAGAGAGTTTGGGTCGGGGCGGGATTCACGAGAGTTAACTGGGTACTAATCTTAAAACCTTGCCAATTTTGGAAGAATTTGGATCACTGTTTTTGCCCAAATCATAGATAAAAATGATTAGGGAGCATTGTGGGGTGCCCCCAATCCTCAAAGAGTGGGCACAGATTAGGGTTTAATTCCTTAGGAATTAATCCTGTGAAGACCTCTCTCTTCTTTCCAACAATTCAAAATCCCATTATTTTCCAGAGGATGTTCCAGTGTGCCCTTGAGTTGATTAGGCTTCAGGAACAGAATAAGAACGCCCAGGCTACATAGAGAAACCCTGCCTCTGGGTGGGTGGGGGTGGGGCACAGGGGGAGGATAAGAACTCAAGACCAGGCCAGGGGGTGGTGGTGCACGCCTGTAATCCCAGCACTCAGGAGGCAGAGGCAGGCGGATCTCTGTGAGTTCTAGACCAGCCTGGTCTACAAGAGCTAGTTCCAGGACAGGCTCCAAAGCTACAGAGAAATCCTGTCTCAAAAAAGAACTCAAGACTGTGAATGTGGTTCTGCTGGGTTAGGAACAGGCAGGCTACCATCCCAAGAGCGGGAGCACTAGAAAGGGAGGATTTGTGGAAAAACAAAACAAAACAATATATCCTTCAAAAGACCTAAAGTTCTCGGGTTGGTTAGTGCTGTGTAAGGGTATGGATCGGAAAGACCGGGCTTTGTAAAGGCCTTGGAATTTCTCTGAAAGTGAGCTATCTTTTTCTGTAGGGTGGCCTCCCTGCCCATGGCCCAGGTGGTTAGTGACTTCAGGCATGGTCATTTCCGGAGCTAAACTGCCCTGAGTGGCCACAGATTCACTCCACAGCCACGTGCAAAATTTAATATGATTAAAAAGAAAATGCCAGTTCACAGGGAAGTATTCGGAGATATCCATTGGTGCTTTGTAAGCTATTCCTCAAAGAGGTGGAGCACTGGGGCCAAATCAACCAACCAAAGCATCTGAAAGGTTTAAAGAACGCTACCACTCACCAAAGTGAAGCTTCTGGACCGAGAGCTGCTGCTCCGGCTCTCCAGACTGCCCCCTCTGCTCAAGTCACTGAGCCTGCAGCTTGGCGACAGGTCAGAGTCCATCTCCAAAGACTCCGGTTTCTGCTGGTTTCCAGGCATCCCCACAGAAAGTTGTCACTGGCTGGTTCACAGGAGACCAGGTAGCAGCCAGAGTCCCATTCTGAGGCAGGGGAGGTCTTCTAGGAAATAAAACACACAACAGTAGTTAGTGACCTGAAAAGTGTCCAGCTGCTCCAAAGTGGAAGGGCAGCCCCTCGCTCACAGACTGGAAGAATTAACACTGTGAAAACAGTTATATTACCAAAAGAAATGTACAGATTCAGTACAATCTCATCAAAATTCCAACTCTTTTCTTTTTACAGAAATAGAAAGAATAATATTAAATTGCATCTGAAAACATAAAATACCTCAGATAAGCAAACGAAGGTATGCTGGGCCCAGGGAGATGGTTCGGTTGGGTAAGAGGGCCTGCGGGACAAACAGTAGGACCTGGGCTTGAATCCCGGTCACGGTGTGTGTGTGTGTGTAGGGGGCAGGGTGATCACTGGCGCTTGGTGGCCCAGATTGAGTAAGAATCTGACAGAGTAGAGTACCCGGTGTCTTCTGATCTCCACACATGCAAATATAACCCATCCCCACAATTAATAATGCCAGAGGTATCACCATACCTAATTCAAATGATGCTCTAGAGTCAACAAAACTGACATGATATGGACGCAAAAACAGATATGTAGATCAACGGATGGAATGTAAGATCCAAACATAAACCCATTGGTTTTTGACAAAGATGCCAAAAATATATATTGGAGGAAAGACATCCTCTTTAACAAATGGTCTTGGGAAAACTAGATATCCGCATACAGAAGAATGAAACGAGATCATTTTCTCTGGCCCTGCATGGAAAATAACCCCAAGTGGATCAGAGACCTTAATGTGAGACCTAAAACTTTGGAACCGAAAGGAAAACACTTTAAGGTTCAGGAATAGGTAAAAACGTCCAAACAGGACTCTAGTTGATAGTTGACTTATGGGATCTTACGAAGCCATAAACCTTCTGCTCAGGAAAGGAAACAGATGGTCGGGTGCAGAAAGTCTGCAGAATTTGAGAAGACCAAAGCTGCACATCCAAGAGAAGATTAATATCTAGAAAATTAACTCCAAAACTTAACAAGTTTTAACCCCATCACTCCAGAGGCAGAGGCAGGCAGATCTCTGAGTCTGAGGTCAGCCTGGTCCACATAGTAAGTTCCAGGCCAGTCAAGTCTACAGAGTGAGACCTTGTCTAAAAAGACCAAACCATCAGACCAAAACCAACCAACCAACCAACCAACCAACCAACCAAAAAAACCTATCTAAAACTCTAAATGAAACTATTCACCCAATCAAAAAATGAACTATGTAACTTTACAGAGATCTCCCAAGAAGAAATTGAAATGGCCAATAAATATTTTCTGACATGTTCAGCACCCTGAGCCATCAAGGAAATGGAGATCAAAACTATATTGAGATTCTATCTCAGCCAAGTCCAAATAGCAGTCATCCAAGAAACAGATGACAGCAAACGATGGCAGGGATGTAGAGAAAGAGGGCCCTTTATCTGCTGTAGGTGGGAGTGTAAACTCACTAAGGGAATCAGTCCAGAGGGTTCTCAAGAGACTGAAAACAGAACCTCCGTATGACCCAGCTGGACCGCTCCCAGACAAATACCAAAGGATTTACACCCTACCACAGAGAAACTTGCACACTGCTGGTAGTCGCTGCTGATCCAGTCACATGGCTAGGAAACAGAACCAGCCCATATGTCCACCTAAACGTGATGGATAAAGAAAATACGGTACACATACACGGGACATAAGAACACACAGATATTTTTGAGACGGGTTTTACGATACAGCCCTGGTTGGCCTGGAGCTTGCTATGTAGACTAGGATGGTCTTGAACTCACAGAGACCCATCTACACCTGCCTCCTGAGTGCTGGGATTAAGGCACGTGCCACCATGCCTGACTAGTTTTTATGAAGGAATAGAAGCATCACAAATGACACCATTGCTGAGAACTTGGTAAAACAACTCTGGCATCGTCCTCTTCACAGAGGGGCTGTACTCTTAGGCTCTGTACATTCTGCCTTAGACTTTCCCGGCATTTCTGCCTCAGCCACCACAACAGGTTTCTTCTCCAGGTCATTGCACTTTAGAGTTTGGAGGCGGCGGCAATGGCTACAATGCTGGGAAGCATGGTTGATAGCTCCAAGACCAAAGGGTGTCTGAGGCCTGATGATACTGCAATTTCCATAGAAGGTGAAAGTCATTTAAGTTGACCCTATCAAGGAGGTCATCGCTAGTACTTCCAGGAAGAAAGTCATCCATGCTTAAGAGCATTTATTGCTCTTCCACAGAAACTAGGTTTGGTTCCTGGGACCTCTATCGGGTGTCTCACACCTGGCTTAATCCAGTTCCAATGGAATACAGTAACCTCTGGTCTCTGTTATGTGCACACACAGTGCACATAAACACATGCACAAATAAATACACAGACAAATAAAATAAATCTTTAAAAAATGTCCCCTGTATACACATGAACACACACACACGCACACACACACACACACACACACACACACAACACAACACACGCTTCTTTTTTAAGTGCCAAACCTAGCATGGTGGCATACATCTTTAATTGTAGCACTTGGGAGCAGAATCAGGTGGGTCGCTGAGTTCAAGGTCAGCTTGGCCTACAGATTGAGTTCTAGGACAGCCAGGGCTACACAGAGAAACCCTGTCTTGAAATGTCCCCGACCCAAACAAAAAAATAAAGAAAAAAAAATGTACCCTGTAAGCTAAGTTAGTTCATCTTCTGACCTTCTTAGTAGAAAACCAGGTCCAGTACCCTAAACACCAAATGAGTTCAATAAAATATTCTAGAAGGCCAAAGAGACCATTACAAATACGCCTCCATATCACAATCACTGACTTCAAACTCTACTACAGAGCTACAGTACTGAAAACAGCCTGGTATTGGCATAGAAACAGACAGGAGGACCAATGGAACCGAATAGAAGACCTGGATATTAATCCACACACTTTTGGACACCTGATTTTTGACAAAGAAGCAAAAAAATATTAAATGGAAAAAAGAAAGCATATTTAACAAATAGTGCTGTCATAATTGGATATCAACATGTATAAGAGTGAAAATAGACCCATATTTATCACCATGCACAAAACTCAAGTCCAGTGGATCAAAGACTTCAACATAAAGCCAGCCACACTGAATCTTATAGAAGAGAAAGTGGGAAGTACACTTGAACGCATTGGCACAGGGAACCACTTCCTAAATATAACCCCAGTAGCATAGACACTGAGAGAAACAATTAATAAATGGGACCTCCTGAAACTGAAAAGCTTCTGTAAAGCAAAGGACATGGTCAACAAGACAAAATGACAGTCTACAAAATGGGAAAAGATCTTCACTAACCCCACATCAGACAGAAGTCTGATCTCCAAAATGTACAAAGAACTCAAGAAATTGGTCATAAAAAGAAGAAATAATCCAATTAAAAAAAAATGGAGTACAGACCTAAACAGAGAACTCTCAACAGGGGAATCTAAAATGGCTGAAAGACACTTAAGGAAATGTTCAACATCCTTAGTCATCAGAGAAATGCAAATCAAAACAACTCTGAGATTCCATCTTACACCGGTAAGAATGGCCAAGATCAAAAATACTGATGACAATTTATGCTGGAGAGGTTGTGGGGAAAAGGGAACACTTGTGCATTGCTGGTGGGAATGCCAGCTGATACAACCCCTTTAGATGTCAGTGTGGCAATTTCTCAGAAAATCAGAAAACAACCTTCCTCAAGACCCAGCAATACCACTTTTGGGTATATATCCAAAGGATGTTCAATTGTGCCACAAGGACATGTGCTCAACTATGTTCATAGCAGCATTGTTTGTCATAGCCAGAACCTGAAACAACCTAAATGCTCCTCGACCAAAAGAATGGATAAGGAAAATGTGGTAGATTTACACAATGGAGTACTACATAGCAGAAAAAAATAATAACATTTTGAATTTGCAGCAAAAGGATGGAGCTAGAAAACATTATTTTGAGTGAGGTAACCCTGACCCAGAAAGAAAATTATCACATGTACTCACTCATAAGTGGTTTTTAAACATAAAGCAAAGAAAGCCAACCCACAAATCACAATCCCAGAGAACCTAGACAACAATGAAGCCCCTAAGAGAGACATACATAGATCTAATCTACATGGGAAATAGAAAAAGACAAGATCTCCTGAGTAAATTGGTAGCATTGGGACCTTGGGAGAGGGTTGAAGTGGAGGGGAAAGGCAGGGAGGGGAGCAAAGAAAAATGTAGAGATCAATAAAAATCAATTAAAAAAAGAAAGAAATATGCCTCCAGTTGACAGACACAGCCATTTGTGGAGAAAGTTCAATCAATATTGGCACCTGTCAGGGGATTCTCTCAGTCTGGGGAGTGTAGCAAACCTCTCTAGAAGAACAGATTTAAAGAGAGATTCCCTACCCCAATTCTCTTCATGTCTCAGTGATTACCCCATGCCAATTCAAGAGTAAGGTGGGGAAACCAAAAGACTCTGAACACACATGCCTTTTAGAATATACCATTTCTCCAAATAATGTGAAAGCAATTCAAAGGGTTAAAGTCTAAAGCTGAATATGCTGGCCTATTCAGTGTGTGTGTGTGTGTGTGTGTGTGTGTGTGTGTGTGTGTGTGCTGGATGGATGCTTCCACAAGATGGAAGCCAGCCTAAACTATAGAACAAGACCCTGCCTCAAAACAAAAACAAAAAAACTAGATGTGGTGGTCCATGCCTGTTGTCCTGCCAGTTGGAAGGCAGAGAGAATCAGAAGTTTAAGGTACATAGTGAATTCAAGGTCAGCCCAGACTGTATGAGGACCTATGCCAAAAAACCTAGCCAAGTGCAGGGCATGGTGGCGCATGCCTTTAATCCCAATACTCAGGAGGTAGAGGCAGCGGATCTCTGTGAGGTCGAGGCCAGCCTGGTCTATAGAGCGAGTTCTAGGACAACCAAAACAAAACAAAAACAGGAAAAAGCTAACCAAACCACCACCATAACAAAAGTAAAATGTTTTGGAATTCATTTAATAACATGTGACCTTAAATAGTAACG